CGACCAGTCAGGGACTGCACCTGCTAAGGGTTTCTTCATGTGCCAGAGATTGTGAATCGTAATAAACCAACCAAGACTAAATGCTAATGTTGCTAAAGCTACATCCACATGAATGTACAGGTCAGATTCTCATACCCTTGAAGAACAAAGGAGCTTTATTAACGTTTATTTCCAAAAAAATGACTTTAAAACGGTTAGATGGATTATGTCAGTAAAATACCTGGTTATATGTCTCTAATCTGAGCGCAGGGACCATAGATCTAATAAATGTTTGGACCCAGATACAGCGATATAACGGATACACGGGTGGAAGCTCTTGGTCTTTAAGGTGTCTCTGTGGCACCCAATGAAGCCCACATCATTACCATGCCACCACCGTGCTGACCTCTCAGCTGCGGTCGGTTTCTCCCAGCAGTCGTTCCACATTAGAAGGAATTAGTTCTCTGTGTTTGGCTGTTTTCATCTTCATGCAGATGCAGCTTTGCAAACGGCGGCTCTGCATCCGTTTTCCCTGCTGAGAGAAGAGTTAGCATGAAGAGGCCTGCTGCCGGCTCTGAAGGGGCCGTTTTCGGCTCCAAGGTCTCAGATGCAGCAGTTTAAAGAATGCAGCGTTAAAAAGACTGACCTTTAAATGCTCTACAGCAATAAATTTATACATTTACTACTACTACTCTCAGGGAGTTTTCACTGGTCTGTATAAGTAAAGTAAAAGATCTGAGTGAACAGAGGAAAAAAGGAGTTTCATTTGAACCCAGATAGTTTTCTTCATGTCCAAACGTCCTGAAGACGAACAGTTGAACCAATCAGGGTTGATCAGTGGTTTCTCTTACTGCAATGAGGGTAAACAGCCTGTTGGGTTCAGAGGTTCTGGTCACGTCTGTCAGTAAACAGCAGGCAGGTCACCAGGGAGCGTTAAACTGATAAACGTCGGCAAATTGACACACGATCAACCTCCACTGGTTGTGACCTTTGTCTCCATAGACGGGGGGGGGCTTCAGGCTGGAGGGAAGAACTCCCCCCTCCGTGCAGGCTTCAGTCTAGAGAAATCTAACAGCTGAAGATGAAG